TATAGCGTCCATAATGGTGATACGAAGCGACAAAACGCTGCATTGCGGTTGAAAGAAGCTGTTTTGAAATTATTCATTCGCAGTGCATGCAGCTCGTTCAGTTCAGCAAAGCGTATTACTAACTCTATAATTGGCTTCTGGTTGATACGATGAACAACAGACACGAAATATTCTCAGAAGACAGTTTTATGCGAATAAACAACATTTTTACTAATGTACACTAATATACGCGAGGTATTCTACATATTTACCTCCATTTTTTCACTTCCTACCTCCATTTTTCCAACCACCACTCATCCGTCCATTCATCTATTTATTGAACAGCACGTATGTGAATTTTTTTTCGCGTTTTTTCCCCTCACAATTTTGTGAACTTTCAAATAGGCGAAGTCTATATTCTGAATGCCGTTTTCCTCTTTCAGAAAACTCAGCATCAACCACCCAAATTAGATTTTTTTTGAAATTTTCAAGCTAAGAAATGGATTTGGGTCGACAAAGTAGTTTTGACGCCACTATTATTTGATTTGATCTATTATCATAAGATACAACCTTACACCTAATTTCTGTATGGAATTAAGGTGCAAAACCTATATATATAACTGAAAATCTAAAGTTCAAGCAAATTGTATGAGATATTTACCAAAGATCCAGAAAAGATTGAGGATTAAGATTATTGACCCACAAACAAAGATCATATTGTTTGTGCAATAACAGCAATTTTTTGGACACCCTGTATTTTTTTATTATCTAATATTTTTTTATAAAGATCTACTTATGTAATTAAGATTATCTCACTGCGTTATGAGCAGCTTTTCAAGGTAGTTTTGCTCCTATTGACAAGACAATTTATTGAGAACCATGAAGACAATCCATAGAAGAATTTTCTGGAAATAAAATGACTTTCCTTCAAGCTACTATAGTCGGAAATACTGGCTATATATCACCTTGATGTCTTAGTTTTCAAGTTCAAAGCATACCTTAATTAAAACAAATACAAATCGCCTTCATGTCCCAAATAGTGTCTCGTATATTTCACCTTTAATCTGGCTTTACGTAACCTTGGCTTCCTGTGGATGTCGTCAATGACTCTTAATTTCTCATTCGAGTCACGAAGGATTAGTACTGAGAATACGTGCATATGGGAGAGCTTTGATCAATGAAATTCTGAGATTTAGTGCCATATGCGTGTACGCATGTAACTTCCTAGGCAGATTTTCGGATTTTCAAAGGGATAAGGCATTTTTTTATCGCTTCTATCCATCGCATTGACGTGAATAGGGTAAGAAGGAAACTTCCGACGCTATCGTGTTGCACTATTCAGCTTTCATTGTTTCAATCGCCTGATTCAAGATTCCTGGGCTATTTGCGGCCTAAGTTATAAGCTCTTTTATTACTGCGACATTATCATAACTTGCTTGCACCTGCATTTCTGATTTCACTGCACCTGGTAATGCAAATGTTACGAATAATTGCACTCAATTATGTAAAATGAAGTCTGTTGACGTATTTGTGCACAAATTGCCTCATTGCGAATGAAATCAGAATTCATTTGAGCATGCTACAGCTGTAGTTGAGCTACAGTAATTTCATTTTTACAGTAAATCATATATCTAAGTATGACCAGTTCATTTACTTCTATTAAAACGATAATTTTACTCCATGCAGGGCTAGAACTCCAAACGAACATCTTATTTTTCATCCTCACTTTTATGGAAACATTCAATCTACTTTCTACCGTATCCTACAGTATCCCTGAAATGTAATC